TTTTTTGTTTTTTTGTTTTTTTTTGAGGGAACTGGGGATTGAACTCAGGCCCTTCCACTTGCCAGGCAGGCGCTTATTCTACTGAGCCATCTCCTCGGACCCCTAGGCTTGAATTTATAATCCTCCTGCATCAGCCTCCTAGAGTGTTGGGATCACATGCCTGTACCTCTATGACTTGTTTTATTTTGTATTCCTGCTGATAGCCTTTCTGTCTTGGCGAGATAGAATTTTGGCCTAGTTTCATTTTGCATTTCCCTGATAGCTAAAGATGTTGAATATTTTAAAATATATGTATTGGTCATTTGTACTTCTTCCTTTGAGAAATGCTATTCCATTCATTTACCCATATTTTGATTAGGTGTTTTGGAGGGTCTAATTTTGTTTGCTGTTCTGGAGATTGAACCAGGTCCTTCACACTAAACTACATCTTCAGCCCTTCTTATTTTTTAGTTTTAGACAGGGTCTTCCTTGGTTGCTAAGAAGCTCTGGTTGGGCTGGAACTTGTGATCCTCCTGCTTCAGCCTCCAACCCGTGTTCTAATTCTCCTGGTGTTTCAGAAGTGGCTTGGCTACCCTAAGCCCCCAGATATTTGGTGCTTCCCTCTGTGCCTTCCTGAGGGCCCAGCAGAAGGGGCCTGAAGCGGGGTGGTAGCCTGAGCTCGGCAGCCACCTTTGGGGCTGAGACTAAGACCTCCTGCTAGGGCAAGCTCAGTTGGTTGCTAATAGCAAGGCACCTTCCCCATCTACTCCTGTCTGTCGTTCATAAGAGCATGCGAGCATCCCAAAGTGGCACCATGAAGTGGGACCGGGACGAGCTGTCACAGGGAAGACACATCAGTTATATTTGCCCCCCAATTATTTCCATTTACAAAAGGCAGACAAGGCACAAAGCCAATAGCAGGGAGTGCACACATGATGTCCACAGAGACAGGCGTGGGCCACACCCAGGGTGAGCTGGGCCCTGTGAGAACCAGGCATGTGACTTTCCCCTGTCCCCACGGCTTGCTCTGCTGACCTTGGTGGGTGGCCCTGGTGGCATGGAGGACCTCAAGCTGCCTGCCTGGCCTCGGAGAAGGATCTGTCCTACCCACCTTTCAGGGCTCCCTGCAGGGCCTGTGCCAAGCTCACAAGCCGGTGGCCATCACTGGGATTCTTGCCGGGATTCTCCATCACCGGGGGGCTCAGGGTGGCCAGGTGAAGGTTCACGAGGGTCACTTCGTTACTTCCCACCTGGGCAGCAGGAGACAGAGCAATAAGGAGGGGCTCGTACACTGCTGCTTCCTGGATGCAGCTCAGAGCTGGCTTTGTGCTCACAGTGGACCACAAGTCGCAGCCAGCACTGCCCAGGGGACAGGGGAGGCTTCGGTGTCAATCCCCAGAGCCCAGACCTGCATGGACAGGACCTGCACTGTACCAGATCCCCACCCCACCCCACCCTAAAACTGGCCAGAGTGGCTCTACATAGCAGGGCTCGATTTATTTTCTTCCCTTCTAAGCAACCATGTGAGAAAAAGAGGTGTCTCTAACAGCTGATGTTAGCGAACCTCCACCCCAGTCCATGCCTGTCCGTCCCACCACTGGGGGGTTCAGGTGCCTGGAAGCCCACACTGTCCTGCTTCCTGATTAACTCTGATCACAGCTAGGCAGCAGGGGGCGCTCACAGGCCATGGCCAGGCACTCAATCACGGGGCCCAAGGCCCTGCTTGGCTGCCTGGGGTTTGGCTGTTGGCCCCAGGACAGAGGTGTCACTATTGGGCCCACAGCTCTGCTGCTGCTGCCCCGCCTGCCAGGGGAGCCACCTGGAGACTGGGCTGGGCAGGATGCACCACATTTCTTGTCATTTCTCTCTCTCTTTTTCTTTTTTTCTCTTCTTTTCGCAGTACAGAGTAGGATGCTGGGCCTTGCACATGACAGGCAGGCACTGTATCTCTGAAATAAGTTCTCCAACCAAGACCATCTACCTGGCCCAGCATGTGACCTGAAGCACAGAAGGCCAAGTGGCTGGCTAGGGCACTGCTGAGAGGACCTGGACCATTGCAGGGGGCACCGCAGCACTTTCTCACTGAAAACAGCTTATACTTTTTCTCCCCCTTGGCAGCCCTGGGGATTGAACCTGGGGCCTAAACACTGAGCTGTATCCCCAGCCCTTTTTTTTATTTTTTATTTTGAGACAGGGTTTTCCTAAGTTGCTAAGTTGCCCAGGGCTAGGCTCAGACTTGCAGCCCTCCTGCCTCAGCCTCCCAGAGTGCTAGGATTCCGGATATGCACCACTAAGCACATCTTCAAAAGCCAACTGGATCTGTAGTAACACTAGTAGTCTGCGGGCTGCTGTAGCTGCACTTGGCCAAAGTCACTTGACATAGAAAGGGGCCCAGTATCATGTCAGGAGGTTTTAAAGATGACCTGGGGATCTTTAGCAGGTCCCTGAGTATGGAGACTGCAGGCTGGGGCACAAGAGGTGCCAACAGTGGACACCCTAGTGAGCACATGACCCATCCACTGCCTGGCAGCCATGGGCGAGAGGGAGCTGTGGCTTGTGGCATCCCCAACACAGGAGCTGCCGTGTCTTCTGCCACGGATAACCGCCCTGGGCTCAGGTGACCTGCAGGCTCCAGTGGTGTAGGGTACACTAGTAAGGAAGGGGTTGCTGTCCTAGGGGACACTGGGCCTGCCTAGGGTGTGGAGGTCAAGCACTTAAGGAGAGGCCTCACTGTCACCGGACTGCTACTCTTCACTGTTTGAATTCCAGTGTTCTGTTCTCATTAGCACCCCAGGATGTTCTGGGCCCAAGGGACAGCATAATGGGGGTGTGTGTCTGCTCAGCTGCCCCAGACAGGGCTGGCTTAAGCCTCTACCCAGAGCTCCCCGAGTCTGCTCCAGCCCCAAAAGCTCCTCCAGGGGTCCTTGCTCCCTGGAATAAGGGAGAGGGACCTGGGGAGCCTTTGAGGAAGGGGGTTCTGCAGAGCAGACTGCTGCCCTGACTCAGCCATTCTAAGACACTGGGCCTCACTAAGCAGTGCCAGGTGGGTGAGGGGCTGCTGAAAGAGTCCTTGAAAGACAGACCATCCTGGGCTCTACCGCAGAAACTGCAATAGGGCTGAGGCATCCCTGATTGTAAGAAAGCCTCCTGGGTCCTTGTGATATGTATGGGCTGGGACCACAATGATTCTCTCTGTCTCTCTCTCTCTCTCTCTCTCTCTCTCTCTCTCTCTCTCTCTCTCTCTCAATGGGGTTTGGATCTTGCTGTGTTGTCCAGACTGACCTCAAATTTGCAACCCTCCTGTCTTAGCCTCCTAACTAGCTGGGTCTATAGACACATACCACTATACCTGGCTCCTCCTCTCTCTTGCCCATGTGTCACAGTTATTGGGACTGAGAGTCACTGCAGATCACCTTCATCCCTGCCCTGGACAAGGTCATCTACCCAGGCAGGCCCAGGAGTGTGTACTCTCATCTTTAGAGACTAAACCCAAAGCAACAAGAAGAGGCTTTTCTCAACTGCAGTTCTACGAAGACGTTTCCTGTTTAGAGGGAGCAGCACACACAGGTGACCTGTGGTGCACGTACCTTGAACTTGGCGAGGTACGGGCTCGGTGCTGGGGGCCTCCCATGTCCATTGCTGGGCGGGCTCTCCTGCCCAGGAGCATCTCGCAGCTCCACGCCGGCTGCGGTGTCCCACAGGAACCCTGAGTACCCAGCACCCTGCAGCAAAAAGGAGACAGAGTGGGTGTTGGGTGCGAGTTTGGCAAGGTGCAGCCTGGCATGGGGGGAGATGCCAGTACACACACACACACACACACACACACACACACACACACACACTCCCCGAGGTCATTCTCCAGAAGTGCCCCACACAGCCAGGCCCTGCCCTTTGATTGGGCAGTGTTACCTTGGTAACCATGCCATGCCCAAGGCAGCAGCTTGTGCCCCACCCCCTTCTAGGAGAGGATCTGCTGCTTGGAGGGGCTGAGTAACTTCCTGAGAACCTTGCAACCGTGAAGGCCACACTGAGAACCATTCAGGAGCCTGTGCAGGGCAGAGGGGACTTGCAGATGAGCTTTTTGTCACAGAGCATGAGGCCTGGCACCAAGAGCCTGCTCGGTCTGCCACTGCTGGATGAAGGAGTCTGGGGCTCACCGGTGGGTGCTCAGGAAGTGACCGAGGGCTCTGCAGGTGCACAGGCTTCAGCCTGGGTCACAGGCCCTGAGGGTCCTGGGGGCACAGATTCCAGGTTGCTGAATCCGTGGGGACCCCGCCATTCCTGCCACCTGAGAGGCTGCTCTCCAGCAGTCTGCCTCAGCCGTGGGCAGGGACTTGGGTACGGAGCAGCTTCTTCTCTGCAGCCTGATGAGTCACACACAGCTTCAGGGGGATCAGGTGGGGGCTGCGCACTGTCACCCAGGCCAGCAGTGCTGCTCACAGCCCCATCGTGTTGCCAGAGAGGAATGGCCCTGCATGAGTGTCCTCCTGGGCAGCTGCCCTGGGTCTCCAGTTCTGGCTTAGGCCGCAGCTTCTGTGCCCCCTGCTAAGAACTGGGTGAACAGTCACAGACATGGGTGTCAGTGTCCCCTGTGTCAGGGAGCCACGAGCCACCCAGGCTGTCACCACCTCAGTGTCCTGGATACCGTGAAGTCTGCAGTGCTGTCAGCTCCGTCTGCTCCTGTCCCTTGTGTGTGTCCCATGCAGCACTGCCAGGGCCACCTTCCTTGCACAGGGCAGGGCCCAGGGCATCTTCTACCTGAAAACTGCTCCGGCTTCCAGTACCACCTTCCTTCTCACACCTGCTCTGTTTGTCCCCAGTGGCCCCAGGGCCTTTCCTGTCACCCCACCCCCACTTCTGTGCACACTGCTTCTTCTGTCCCTGGTCTGTGACCCATCTGGGTGCCTTCAGCACGTCAGACTCAGGTGGTCAAGGTCAAGAGCAGCCGGCTCAGCAGAGGCACACAGGCGTGGCTCTGAACACCACCTCCCAGGCAGGGGCACTGGGGGGCAAATAAGCACTTCTTCCAAGTCTCTGAGGTCTCCACTTTCTTCTCTGAAAACTTCTTTAGGCTATGGCTTGGGTGCCAAAGAAGGGACCTGAGGACCCAGAGATATGAGGCCAGGGCTGGGAAGCAGGGCTTGTGCTTTCTTGCGCAGAATGAAGACCAAATATTCCTGAACTGAAACTGTTTGATTCATACTGTTTTAACACATTTTTTTGATTATTGATTGTGACCATTAATCCTGATAGTCAACTTCATGGATTAAGAAATGACTGGCAGATCTATAGAGTACATGTCTAGGTACATCTGGGGGCTCATGGAGGTGTGACCCCAGGTACTCTGCATAGTCCTTCGCCCTTCCTCTTTGGCGCTGTTCCCATTTCGCTCCTGGTCAGCACGAACTACACAGCCTTGCTCTGCCGCCCCCTTCTGCTTGATGTTCTTGCTCGGAGCCTGGTGACCATGGACCGAGTCCTCTGAAACTGTGAGCTGCAGCTAGGTGTGAGCATTCCTCTTTTAGGCTGTGGGTGTTAGGTCTGCATCCCAAGGACAGAAAAGCTGAGCAGAAATCTGTCCAGATTTAAAATTCCAGCAGGGCCAGGGTGACCTACGCTGTCCTGGCCGGCTGTGAGCATCCTGGAGGAGGGGCTGCCACTCTCTCCAAGGTGCACCCGGCACGACATCCAGGGCCTGGTGCAAAGTTGCCAGGCCTGGGGAACTTGTTGGATAGATAGAGAAGGTGTGCTGAATGGATGACTCTGATACACACACACACACACACACACACACACACACACACTCTGAGTGCTATTTATAGAATGGCAAGGTGGTATTACTATTTTTCTGAGACCCAGTGGGGATGGCTCTGGGCTCAGTGGTTGGCCCAGAAGCACCGTGCTTGAACCCACGCCACAGCATCAGGCCCGAGAGGAGGATTAGGAGGTGCTAAAAAAAAAAAGTAGAGGCTGACGGTCATTAACAATGAGCATAGGCTTATTATTGTCAACAATAATAAATAACTGGCTACTTTTAATCTAGCATGCATTTATGATTGATGGTTGAAGAGCCTAAGCTGTACACACCAACCATAGAATTCACACGTGTTTCTAAGCACAGTAAGTCTGCTACAGATGAAAAATAACAACTCCATTTATGGGAAATTATGCAGTGATCCTTTTGTTGTTGTTTTTTTTAAAGACATGGTAGTTCAGCCCAGTCTTAAATTCATTATGTAGCCCAGGATGGACTCCAACTTGAGACAGTTTTACTGCCTCTGCCTCTCAATGCTGGGATGATAGGCCTGTGTCACCACTCCCAGCTTTCTGGGGATGGAACCTAGAACCTTGTGCCACTGAGCTACATCTCTAGTTCAAGACCTTTTTTTAAATTGTAATTTTTTTATTGGAAAACAAATATGCAACTTGGAATGGATTTGAGGCAAACTGTGCCATAAGCAGATTTTTTTTTTCTAAGTGGCTAAACAAAGTTTAAAAAGCAAGTAACAATAAAAGAAAATGTTTCTGGTACAAGACCAGCAGTACAAAAAAATAGTGTACGAGTACCTGGATAATACACCCGTTTTGCAATAGTGCAACTTTGAAGTGCATATTGTTGACTGTCCGCAGCCACGCAGTTACAGCTCCACACTTCAACAACAACATGCTGACATGTCCTAGGAAAACTACTTTAAAAAAGGCATAACCAGATGTTCCCTCATCTGACCAACTCCATCTAGGTTTAGATGTGCAGAAGGGCTTAGATATATCCAGAGTGAGCCACATGCAACATGTTACTTGATCAATTTTCTAAAATAAGGTTTCAGGACAATGACAGTAAGATAAGGGAAGAAACCATGGAGGAATGAAGTCCTAATTACTATACATGCATTTTTTTTTGACAGTAGGGGGAAACCTTTTACAGATAAGTTACAAACAAAGAAAAGGCAAATAAACAAATTTGTACAAGAAATTTAACACATTCTGTACAACGTCTTCACTTTGCTGTCATCATTTGTACAAACTCTTCATAGTTTACTTGGCCATCACCATCAATATCTGCTTCCCTGATCATTTCATCAACCTCTTCATCTGTTAACTTTTCTCCAAGGTTTGTCATCACATGGCGAAGCTCTGCTGCACTAATATAACCATTGCCATCCTTATCAAATACACGGAATGCTTCTCTAATTTCTTCCTCACTGTCTGTGTCTTTCATTTTTCTTGCCATCATTGTCAGAAATTCAGGGAAGTCAATTGTACCGTTACCGTCCGCATCTACTTCATTAATCATGTCCTGCAACTCCGCTTCTGTGGGATTCTGCCCCAGAGACCTCATTACAGTTCCCAGCTCCTTTGTTGTTATAGTTCCATCACCATCCTTGTCAAATAGTGAGAAAGCTTCTTTGAATTCTGCAATCTGCTCTTCAGTCAGTTGGTCAGCCATGCTGCAAGCACTACTGGTTTCTGAGACGCGAACACTGAACCGCTCAGCTCGCTTGCTCCACTCGGACTAATCAAGACCTTTTTTGTTCAGTCTAAAAGCCTGCAGATTTAAACCTGGGTCTGACTATAGTATAAAAGAGTGAAAATGTGTGCAGTGGAGACCCACCCGCACCACAGGGCGACACTGGTGACAAAACTCAGGACCAACATCTGCTGGCAGTGGTGACAGAAGATCTCTACGTGCAGTTTCAACTATGAAGGCAAATACTTCAGCTATGAACTCAGGTATGCTGAAGTTTCCAGTCAGTGGAAACTTCATCCTTTTTGTTTTGCTGTTTTGAAACAGGGTTTTGCCATATAGCCCTGGCTGGCCTGAACTTGTGGCGATCCTCCTGCCTCAGCCTCCCAAGTGCTGGGATTACAGGTGTGCAGCACCATGCCTGGCCTTTAACAAAGGAATTTCAAGGACAGAGGACAAAAATGCCTCTCTGCTGTCTTGGCCTTGAGGGAAGATTCCTCCTCCTAGGACCTTAAGTACACCTTTCTTTCTTTCTTTCTTTCTTTCTTTCTTTCTTTCTTTCTTTCTTTTTTTTTTTTTAGCACACATTTCTATCTGGGCAGCCATCTACTCCTGAGCTCAATATGAAGTGAGCACCAGGGCACTGGAGAGGAATGGAAGAGACTGAGAAATTGGGTGGCAATACAAACTTGCTCAAGGACAATGGCACGGGAGAACATAAAACACCGTGACTGGGGGCTGGGGGAGTCCGCTGAAATAAAACGAAAGCAAAGGTGAGGCTGCACAGCCCAGCCTACCTTCTGGAGCTGACTTGAGGGCTTCTCGGCGACCAGGGACCGCCAACATCCCCGAGGACCCCTCCACTTTCGGATGTTGGGCAGGACCGGTTGGTTCAGCTCTGTGCAGAACTGCAATGACAGAAGCCAGGGTCAGCGTGGGTCCCCAGCGCTGCAGCTCCAAGTCAGCACGCGAGGGCTGGAGGCTTCCTGCGGCTGCCCAGCAATTGGAAGAAACATAAGCAGTTAACAGAGCAGAATCAACCTGCGGTTCTCACAAATCCAGATGATGGAATGAGCAGCATGAATTAAACACACACATCCACCCGTGAAGCCCCAAGGCATCATTGGGACTGAGTCTTTCTGTCCCAGAGGGTCCAGAAAGAGGGTTCAGAACCCTTTCCATGCTGTGAAGCCTGTGGCTCCAGGGCCCAGGGGCATCTGGTCAGCGTTGAAGCCAAAGGGGAAGAAGAGGACCACCTGTCCCACTCCTCCCCAGGGCTTAGCTCAGGGACAGAGAATGACATCTGCTCATGCTCAAGCACACACGATCACAAGTTGGCGACAGCGCCCATCCACGCATATGCCCGCGGCTGCTTGTGCCCATGGGTTCCGCAGTGTGGTGTGGGAGCCAAAGGGAGTGTCTGTCATCCAGGCAAAGCAAAATAGCACAAGGTAGGAAGAAAAGTGATAAAGCTGCCAGCTCCAGCCTGGGTGCAATGGTGCACGCCTGTAATCCCAGCACTCCGGGGGCTGGGACAGGAAGATGGCAAGTTTGAGACCAGCCAGGGCTACTTAGCAACTTAGTGCGACCCTGTCTCAAAATAAAACTAAGAAATTTCAAAAGAACTGGGATGTTGCGGAGTGCAGTGACCCTGAGTTCAATCCCCAGAACTGCAAAATAAAAAGCCCAGACAGTTAGTACCACGGCACTCAGGCCCGCTTCTCTAAGTCATTCTACTGAGTCAGCTCTTAGGAGGGTTTCCCCAGACTTCACTGCATTTGGGCCCAGTTTCTTTCTCTTTCTTTTTTTCTTTCTTTCTTTCCTTTTTTTTTGTCTAGTCCTAGAAATGAGGCCAAGGCCTTTACAGTGAGCTACATCCCAGTCTCTTTAAATTTTGAGACAGGATCTCACTAAGTCACTAAGCTGCCCAGACCGGGCTTGAACTCAAGATCCTCCGGCCTCAGGCTCCCGGAGTGCTGGGGTCACAGACATGTGCCACCATGCCTGGCCTGTGCTCTGACATCTGGTGCTGCCCTCTCCAGTGATATCCTCCTGTCCACCCACACACACACACTTAAGGACCCCACTTGCCTCTTTCTGTGTGCCCCCCCCCCAAGGTCTCTCGCTTTAACCAGCTGTCTTTAACCATGCCTGTTAGTGCACAGGGTCAGCTGGCACCTGTACCTGGAAGACCCCAGATCAGCAAGGCGGCCCGCACCTCTCTCCTGAGTACCAAGCTATATTTATGACAGCCTCTTTAACAGTTCTGCCTGAAGGTCTCCCCAGAACCTCAAACCTGCACTTCCAAGAGGAACATGTTAATAGTCCTAGGCTTCCACCAGGGGAGCTCTGAGTTTAAAAAGCCCCACCAGGTGACCAGCCCACCATTGTGGACTCCAGCCTACAAATAGCTGGGCCATGGATGGTTCTCTCCACTAAGACCTCTGTCTGACCCTCAGGAGCCTCAGGTCCCTGAAAAAAGCACACCTCTGATTGTACCCCAAAGCCACACCAGCTCAGCCACCCCACTCCTGGTGCCACAGCTTTGAGGGGAGAGACGTAGCCCAGACCAAAAGCACTGCTGTCCATGCTAGTCACTTTCAGAGACCATGTTTGGGACTAAAGTAAGAATGATCGGTGTCACTACGCACTTGTTAAAGGGCAGATTCTCCGGCCTTGCTCCAGACCTGCTTAGAGACTGAGCTAGGCCAGGAAATCTGCATTCGACAGAAGGCAGCACTGGCTTCATGGGTGGAAGAAAGGCATCAAATGTTATTTTACACGTCAAATCCACTCCTGGGTAAACTCCAAGAGCCCTCTCCCTGCAGGCACATTAACTGTGCTCACCTGACACCTCTCTCAAAGCCACAGTGCAGATTACTCTTCCCCGACTCTCCCCAGTACTTATGTGACTGGGCACAGTTAATTAAAAACTCACAAGACCAGGGACATAGTGTGGGTGACAGGGAGCTACCTAGGCCCCAATTTTCACAATCAGAGTTAAGCAAGGGGCAAGGATTTTCTTCCATTTTGAGGACTGGAGAAGACACTGCCAGTCTTTTAACTGAGGTGATGCTGGTCATGGCTAACCTAAGAAGGGGAACAATTTAGGTCCCTACTATTCCACCTGTGGGCTGTGGACTGAGGCAGGGACCTCAGGAGGCCCTGCCCTGCTGCACAGTGCCTGTTGCTGCAGGCCCTAGGGTTGTTTTTGAGCCGCTGAAGCTTTGAGGAGTCAGCCTGGGGGGGCTTCCTGTAGGTCCTCTTGGTGGGTACCCCACCTCTATTGTCCCTGAAGGGCCCCAGCAGGCCCCAGCTGTTCCTGGCCGCAATGCTGCCACCCAGGACAGAGATGCCCACACTGGGTGTAAGGTCAGGGTCCCCAGCTGGAAAGTGTGAGCAGGTGGGTGGGTCCAGGTCTGCTGTGTGGCCTCTGCCTGGACAGGCAGCCCAGGGCCGGATCATCCCTCAAGCTGAACACTGCCTTAGGTGTCATACTTAGACAAACACATCTTCCAATCTGTTTCATTCACATCCACAGAAGGAAGAAGTCCTACTGTTACACAAGACCATCCAGGCCAAAAGGTGGGGCCAGCAGGCAGAGGTGGCAGACATGGTTTGTGTCATCCAAAGGCCTCTGGGGGCAATTCTGACCCTCACAGCCCAATACAGTGCTTCACCTCACAATTCTCAACCCCGGTGGCTCACTGATCATGCACCTTCCTCAGCAGGAAGCTGGTTCCTGTAGGTACCACGGTGGGCTTTCTGGCACGGCAGCACGCACTTGTGATTCAAGCTACTTGGGAGGCTGAGGCAGGAGGATCATGAGTTCAGCAGCAGCCTGGACAACTTAGTGAGACCCTGTCTCAAATGAAGAAAACAGTGGCATAGTGGAGCCTAGTGCTGACTGACTAGAGGGATCTGGGAGGTTCTGTGGAATAAGCTCTTGCTCTGAACTCAGGCAAGCTGATGGCTATCAGTCTAGAACTCAGACTACCTCATTCAGTGTCCGAGGGCTGGAAAGACAGCTTTTGTTATTTACCACTTTAGTTGTCCTACCCCGCTCCCTAAGAACAGTGGATTCCAGCTCTTTGCAGATAATCCTAGGAAATGATAGCTGTGTGTATGACAGTCTAATGTACCCAGAGGGTCATCAGGGCATGACCTTGAATGGGACACTGTGACTCTGATCTTTTCTTCCTCTGCTCACTTCCTCTGCCAGGCTTTCCTGCTGGGATGCTCCCCCAGATGCAGACCCTCTGATAGCAGGGTCACCATTCACACACCAGGACCTCCAAAGCCATGAGCCCCAATGAGCCATCCTGGGTGCCTGTCACAGTAGTGCCAAGCTGACGAACACAGCCAGTGACTGAGAAGTGACAAAAGTCTTTGGTCACTAACCTATCCTTGGGCTCAGTGGCCAGAGGCTTCAAAGTCCAGACAGCTTAAAAGTAACTGAAGAGAGGCTCACAGCACTCACTGGCATTGACAGCTTCCTGGTCCCAAAGGATGAGAGGACTTTGATAAGACCCCAGGCCACCAGCCTTCTGCACCTTGGGTTTGCCCGGAGCAGCTGATGGCTCATCTCTAGGGTGACAAATGACTAGAAAACTTAGAAACTGCTTTTTGCTCACGGCCCTTTGGACTTTCTTCTTTACTTTGACCTCTCCCATACTCTGAAAGGAATATTCCCCATTCTTTGGACATGACCAAGGAAGAAACACGAGGAAGGACTTTCGCTTCACGCAGTGGCTCATCCGGCTACCAGCAGGCTCAGAGACCCTTACATCCCCTTTCCAGTCAAGTTAAAACCAAACCTGGGCTCAAGGTGACCACACAGCTCACAGGACAGCGACTACCAGGAGGTTCTAACAGCAAAAGGGCACCTTGTCCTGCTTCCGGGAAGGGTGGGGCCCATGTGTTTTCACTTTGAAGGCTTGGGCTCAAATTCCCAGATGTAATTGCTTCCCCAGGTTGGTGTTTCTCTTGCTTTCCTGACTCTGGACGTGACTTCCCTTTGACAATGAGTTTCCCACATGGTCACTACCAATTCCCTCCATGCGCTCAGTGGCAGCTCCTAAAAGCACAATCTATTTTTGTGGATGATAAAGCCCGTGTGAGTTTTCCTTATAAAGACATGTTACCATAATTGTGTGAGGTCTACAGGACAATAGGGCTAAGGGCAGAGAGATCTATTTTTAAAGAAATTAATGGAGGCAAGTGTGGCAGCATAGGCCTGAAATCCAAGCACTCTGGGAGGCTGAAGCAGGAGAATCTCGAGTTCAAGTCCAACCTGGGTAATTCAGAAATTTAGCAAGACCATATCACAAAAAAAATAAATTAAAAAGGTCTGGGAATTTAGTTCAGTGCAGAAACCCTGTTCAGTCCCCAGTTCTGACCAGAGATAAAAAGGAAACGATAATGGTATGCAACGGTTCATCCTTGCCTGGATCTTCAAGCACCGAATGTCACAGTCACTGTGAGAAGCCAGGGTCCTTCACACAGAGGTGAAGCCAAGGCACAGGTAGATTGTGAAAAGATGTCGACCCACTCTGTGAGAAAACCCAGCCATGCTGGAGCCTAATCACACAATAAGTGCAAACTAACTGGCTTGGTCTTCTCAATAGAGCAAAATAATGGAGTTAAAGATCCCAGGACAGTTCAAATATATGTGAAAGCCATATATATCCTCAAGGGGCAGAAATGAGCTTGCTTCACTCTACGCTGCTGGGCCTAAGCACCTTCTCAGCTTATCAGCTGCCCTAAAGCCTTCTGCACTATCTGCTGAGAAGAAAAAGGGAACCCAGGGGCGACAGCCAATGGTGCGCAGAACCCCCCTCCCTCTATCTTGCCCTCCCCTCCCCCCGCTGGAGATGGATCCTAGGGTTTTTTGACCATTGAGCTAAAC